TTGTTTTCACGTAAGTAATGGCCACACATGTAGAATAATAATTTATACAATTGTTAGTGTCTGGCGCACTCTGAGTTTTGCCAGGTGGCCAGGTAGTTCTTTCTCAACTAATGGGTTTACACCATCAATTTCATGTTATTAGTCAGTTCCTATAACCTCTTCTCTATGAGTGATTTGTTTGGGATAGCTCTACAGAAGTACACATTTCAGGAATACATTTGTCATGACGGCATGTGTTTATGTTAATGATTATTGTTAAGGTAAAAACTTTATGATACAATTGTCTCTTTCCTAATTAAAGTTACATTCACACTTTGCAAATTGGTATGGTACCAACTAATCAGTGACCAATATACTGAATAAACCATTAAATGTTAAAATTGTTGATGTGTATGGAGAAATTAACTACAGAATAGAAATTCAAGCAGTCCTCTAAAATTAGGTTAGATTTAAAAACAATAGACAATTACTGAGATTGAAATAATAGTCATTGTTTGTCCAAGAAGGTGAGTTACATTGTAAGTAAATAAGTATCTACTCTAACGGTACTTTCAAAATGAAATGGTTGGAAAGGATATCTATTTTTATATTTCATATTTTTTACATAATTTACCTACCGGTAGTTCTGAAAGTGATGGTTTACATACTTGTAAAGTATAAATGCTACTTTGATGCTGATTACAGTACACCATTGTATATATATATATAATATGAATGAATAAATTACATAATGTATGTTAATAAATAAATTAATCAACAATATTGATCTGAATTTCCAAATAATTTGTTGATCATTAGAAACTCTACAAAAACAAATTTAGTGAAAAAAAAAAAGCTAACTTCATAGAAAACATTACAGTACAATCATGATAAAAAAAAAAGTTAAAATCTAAGTGAAGAAAAAACATTCCTGTTGTCATTGTGATAACCAGATTCAAATAGACCAGCAGTAATATTCTGTATCTTAGTAGGTAACTGCCATGAGTGAAAATGCACTTTTATGAAAAAACAAAAACAAAACAAAACATTTTTAATCTGATAACCTTAAGACACGTTATGTACATTACCTGTAATTCCTCGACAAGAAACTATTCCAGTTTGACAAACTTAAACATCAAAGCTTCATCTTATTCTGACTGGTCAACTATGGCATACACTTGTACATTTTATTAACAGTGATCTAGAGATGGTAAATCTAAATCAAGCTGTAAATATGACTATCAAGTCTAGTTTGAAAATAATTAAAGCTGTAAACAAATACCCAAATGAAGCCTGTATTATTTCAGCCAGTCAAACCAGTCATTGAAGTATACAGTGTTTTCTTGTCACACTTGGGGGCACAATACAAACACCAGTCATTGGAGTACATTCGCTGGTTCCTGGCATCCCTTGCGAATGACAATTATGACACGGGTAACTAGTAATCGCCATATTGTTCCATTGGGGCTGGATTCTGGCCCAAAGGCACGTGACTAAGTGTCGTAATTTGAAAACATTCTAATATTCGTTTTCTGTAAACAAGTCTTCATTATGCCATGCCCATACATTCTTCCTTCTTAGACTTACATATTTGAGATGTTTCTGGCATTTCTAGCTTCTGTACAAAAGAAACAGTCTATTATTCGCCTAACTTTCAAAAGTAAAAGGAAACCCCTGCTCTAGGACCACGGCGTAACCGCTGATGTCAGGTAACCAAGGGAAATAGAACAAGCAACAAGAAAGTGACGGAACAATCAGAATGCCGGGACCGTTACTAGTTACCTCAAGTATCATAGCGTACCAAGCCACAAGAGGTGGGAACCAGCCAATGGAGTATACAGTGTTCTCTGGTCAGACTTGAGGGCGTTATACATACACCAGTCATTGGAGTACGCAGTGTTCTCTGGTCAGACTTGAGGGCGTTATACATACGCCAGTCATTGGAGTATGCAGTGTTCTCTGGTCAGACTTGAGGGCGTTATACATACGCCAGTCATTGGAGTACGCAGTGTTCTCTGGTCAGACTTGAGGGCGTTATACATACGCCAGTCATTGGAGTATGCAGTGTTCTCTGGTCAGACTTGAGGGCGTTATACATACGCCAGTCATTGGAGTATGCAGTGTTCTCTGGTCAGACTTGAGGGCGTTATACATACGCCAGTCATTGGAGTATGCAGTGTTCTCTGGTCAGACTTGAGGGCGTTATACATACGCCAGTCATTGGAGTACGCAGTGTTCTCTGGTCAGACTTGAGGACGTTATACATACACCAGTCATTGGAGTATGCAGTTTCTCTGTTCAGACTTGAGGGCGGGATACATACACCAGTCATTGAAGTACGCAGTGTTCTCTGGTCAGACTTGAGGGCGTGATACATACACCAGTCATTGGAGTACGCAGTGTTCTCTGGTCAGACTTGAGGGCATGATACATACACCAGTCATTGGAGTATGCAGTGTTCTCTGGTCAGACTTGAGGGCGCTATACATACACCAGTCATTGGAGTACGCAGTGTTCTCTGGTGAGACTTGAGGGCGCTATACATACACCAGTCATTGAAGTATGCAGTGTTCTCTGGTCAGACTTGAGGGCGTTATACATACACCAGTCATTGAAGTATGCAGTGTTCTCTGGTCAGACGTGAGGGCGCTATACATACACCAGTCATTGGAGTACGCAGAGTTCTCTGGTGAGACAAACATTTTTACTCGGTATCTAGATCAGGTACACTTGGCAACTCAGGAATACTTGGACTTCGGTCAATCCTACAATAATTATCACATGAAAAAATATTCAGGATTAGAACCTATGTTATGGCAAGGAAGCATTTTTAATACAAAACTAAAGTAATTAATTGTAAAGTAATTTATGTGTTTTATCTAAGAAATTTTGGCCCAATTTGATTCAAATACATTTTAGTTATTACAGTCACTTATACAACACATTTGCTTTATTGATAGCATGTTCTTATTTTGTATGTAAATGACATGGGTGTTAAAATAATTATGCTTCAATAGAGCAAGTATGGTACATATATATGATAGAATACATGCATTGATCACAATTGTATAGCACACGTTTTCTCACATTGTCATGGTAACGATTCACTGACAGTAATTCCTTGAAGTTATACGCCATACAGTATACATTTATGTCTGAAAAGTGTATTTTCCAAGTTCACAATTTCAGGACAATTATACTGAGGAAATATAAATTACTATAATGTACTAAGAATATAATACATGTAAGGACATTAAATTGTGACATGCACCAAACCATGGAAAAACAAAATGACAAAATTGCCCTAATTACTGCCCCAAGTTCATGTACATACATGTATCCAACTTATATTCCCCCATGTTAACGGAACCAGGTAAAAGGTTACTGAATTATGATGTGAGGGTCAGAAACATTTTGGACTGAAAAAGCACAGAGCTGGGATGAATAAAACAAAGCTGGGATGAATAAAACAAAGCTGGGATGAATAAAACAAAGCTGGGGTGAATAAAACAGCTGGGGTGAATAAGCACGGAGCTGGGGTGAATAAGCACAGGGCTGGGGTGAATATGCAAAGGGCTGGGGTGAATAAGCAGAGGGCTGGGGTGAATAAGCACAGAGCTGGGGTGAATACGCACAGGGCTGGAGTGAATACGCACAGGGCTTGAGTGAATACGCATAGGGCTGGAGTGAATAAGCACAGAGCTGGGGTGAATAAGCACAGGGCTGGGGTGAATAAGCACAGAGCCAGGGTGAATAAGCACAGAGCCGAGGTGAATATGTACAGAGCTTGGATGAATAAGCACAGAGCTGGGGTGAATATGCGCAGAGCTGGGTTGAATAGGCACAGGGCTGGGGTGAATAGGCACAGAGCTGGGGTGAATAAGCACAGAGCTGGGGTGAATAAGCACAGAGCTGGGGTGAATAAGCACAGAGCTGGGGTGAATATTCGCAGAGTTGGGTTGAATAAGCACAGAGCTGGGGTGAATATGCGCAGAGTTGGGTTGAATAAGCACAGGGCTGGGGTGAATAGGCACAGGGCTGGGGTGAATAAGCACAGAGCTGGGGTGAATATGCGCAGAGTTGGATTGAATAAGCACAGAGCTGGGGTGAATATGCGCAGAGTTGGGTTGAATAAGCACAGAGTTGGGTTGAATAAGCACAGAGCTGGGATGAATATGTGCAGAGCTGGGTTGAATAGGCACAGGGCTAGGGTGAATAGGCACAGGGCTGGGGTGAATAAGCACAGAGCTGGGGTGAATAAGCACAGAGCTGGGGTGAATATGCGCAGAGTTGGGTTGAATAAGCACAGAGCTGGGGTGAATATGCACAGAGTTGGGTTGAATAAGCACAGGGCTGGGGTAAATAGGCACAGGGCTGGGGTGAATAAGCACAGAGCTGGGGTGAATATGCGCAGAGTTGGGTTGAATAAGCACAGAGCTGGGGTGAATATGCGCAGAGTTGGGTTGAATAAGCACAGAGCTGGGGTGAATATGCGCAGAGTTGGGTTGCATAAGCACAGAGCTGGGTTGAATATGCGCAGAGTTGGGTTGAATAGGCACAGGGCTGGGGTGAATAGGCACAGGGCTGGGGTGAATATGTACAGGGCTAGGGTGAATATGCGCAGAGCTGGGTTGAATACATTGTAGGCACAGGGCCGGGGTGAATAAGCACCGAGCTGGGATGAATAAGCACAGAGCTGGGGTGAATAAGCACAGGGCTGGGGTGAATAAGCACAGGGCTGGGGTGAATAAGCACAGAGCTGGGTAGAATAAGCCCAGAGCTGGGATGAATAAGCACAGAGCTAGGGTGAATAAGCACAGGGCTGGGGTGAATAAGCACAGAGCTGGGATGAATAAACACAGAGCTGGGTTGAATAGGCACAGAGCTTGGGTAAATATGCACAGAGCTGGGGTGAATAAGCACAGAGCTGGGTTGAATAGGCACAGAGCTTGGGTAAATATGCACAGAGCTGAGGTGAATAAGCACAGAGCTGGGTTGAATAAGCACGGAGCTGGGTTGAATAAGCACAGAGCTGGGTTGAATAAGCACAGAGCTGGGGTGAATAAGCACAGAGCTAGGGTGAATATGCACAGAGCTAGGGTGAATATGCACAGAGCTGGGGTGAATAAGCACAGAGCTGGGGTGAATAAGCACAGAGCTGGGGTGAATAAGCACAGAGCTGGGGTGAATATGCACAGAGCTGGGGTGAACAGGCACAGAGCTAGGGTGAACAGGCACAGAGCTAGGGTGAATAAGCACAGGGCTGGGGTGAATATGCACAGAGCTGGGGTGAATATGCACAGAGCTGAGGTGAATAAGCACAGAGCTGGGGTGAATAAGCACAGAGCTGGGGTGAATAAGCACAGAGCTAGGGTGAATATGCACAGAGCTGGGGTGAATAAGCACAGAGCTGGGGTGAATAAGCACAGAGCTGGGTTGAATAAGCACAGAGCTGGGTGAATAAGCACAGAGCTAGGGTGAATATGCATAGAGCTGGGTTGAATAAGCACAGAGCTGGGGTGAATAAGCACAGAGCTGGGGTGCATATGCACAGAGCTTGGGTAAATATGCACAGAGCTGGGTTGAATAAGCACAGAGCTGGGGTGAATAAGCACAGAGCTAGGGTGAATATGCACAGAGCTGGATTGAATAAGCACAGAGCTGGGGTGAATAAGCACAGAGCTGGGGTGAATAAGCACAGAGCTGGGGTGAATATGCACAGAGCTTGGGTAAATATGCACAGAGCTGGGGTAAATATGCACAGAGCTGGGGTGAATAAGCACAGAGCTGGGGTGAATAAGCACAGAGCTGGGGTGAATAAGCACAGAGCTGGGTTAAATACAAAGTAAAGAGCACAGAAGAATAAGTACAGAACCATGATAGTGAAAACACTGTAATGCCAATAACTTACTCATGAAATGCAGCCGGTGAGGATATTGACCGTCCACTTTCTTTATATTTTTTTTTCTTCTCTTCTGATTTGTATGGATTACAAAAAGATTTCTGTTTTAACATGCTCTTCACTAAAATCTAAAAAAAAAAATCATTAACAACATGGATTTAAATTTACATAATATTATATTGACTAATTGTGCAAATGTGACAATAATTGCACGTCTTACCACAGTCTCTATCTTTGGTAGATGTCTAACTGAGTTGCTGATTTCTTCATCTGTAACTTCTACCAGTGTACAGTTATCAGACTCACTAAGTAGGTGAATTCTACCATCAAGTGTCACCCATGGATGTATCTTACAAAAAATAACATTCTGAATATTAATACTAGTCATCAAACTAGAATTGAATTAAATAGATTCCATGTATCAATTAATATGTTTAACAAACATGTATAATTCAATACAATCATCAAAGTGGATAAAAGTAAAATACAGAATTGCATATTTATCATATTACATTGTCCTTCCAAGTTACCTCACAATAGCAAATTGAATAGGAAATGGTGCCATTCATAAAAGATGCACGGGGATCCTACTGAAGCAGGCATAATTTGAAATTCAAAGTGTCCAATGACTGCGGGTGTTTGAATCAAGTTGAAATTTGCCACTATGTATAATGCATTGTGGGAAAGATTCAAACTTGTTATTAATGACCATGTCACTTTATCTCCTCTCTTTTTTTTTTACAGTGGACATAGTATGAATGTGAATCAGTTGATCAGAAAATGTGGACATACAGCCTGAATATTTTATCTTGATTTTAGTAAAGTGTTTGATAGATCACAGTATCAAAATGATTTACATGTAAGCTGGAGATTAATGTAAATATTATAAAATAGGTTGCATTTTTTCACTGACAGGAAACAAAAGTCAGTGTTATGGAAGTTTAGTTATAATTTGATGGAAGTAAAAGCCAAAGTGCCACTGAGAGCCAATCTAGGTCCTCTTCTGTTTGTTGTGATGCATAATGAAAATCAAGATATGATTATAAATTCATATTTTATTTTTAGTGACAACACACCTTATCAGAACATTTTGATTTAAATGTGGCAGAACATTCTGTAGTGCAGTTAAACTTGGACAATATTTGCGAATAGTTTGAGATGCACAAAATGAATCCTATGAAATGTAAGGAGATGAAGCCTTGTTTCTCTGAATCAAACTTTCCCCATTAGTAATTGATCATAATTAGATTTGTCAATAGGTAGAGGTGTCTAAGTATTGATATTTGTAACTCGTTAAAATTGAAGTATCGTGTTAATGAATTAATTAACAAAGCCAATTATGGCTCCAGTAGTTCACTCCTGAATTTTCGATTGTGGTGTGGCAGGGAAGCTTTTTGAATAATATTAATTGCCTTACACATCAATAGTCAAGCTTGTCAACTACTCTTGTGAACTAATTTTGATATCCAAGATGTCAGTGTATATTTAATAATTTAATATTGGACTCAAATATTGTCCACCCTGAACATAACTATTAATTTAAAAATAGCTTAATACCAGAACAGAACATGCTTAAATATGCAATTCCATCGAGCAATTCATTCAAAGCAGCCAGTCTTGTATTCCATTGTAACTGTAAATAAACAGACGTATTCACCTTAATCTCAGGAAGTGATATCCTCTTTACTGGGTCTTTTTCCAACATTCTGGAAAGAAGATCTTTAAGAGAATCGCTAATAGCTCTCCTAAAAAAAATTAAAACATTCATGAGGAACATTTGTTATCACCACTGACAATCAACTTTATCCACTAACAACATGACTGGACACATGCTCCTACACATCCATATAGGGATCATGAATGTGTTCAATCAGAGACTACCGGTACTTAAAGTAGAAGGGTCGTCACCTGTGCACGAACAGGAATTGAGTTCCAAGCGACGATAACAACACACGCTAAAACACAAAGGCTCATGGGTAGACGCTTGTTTGTAAACATTGACACGTTTGGCCATCTGACGCATGCTCAGGTGACGACTCCCCCACTTTGAAAGACAGACTCCTGGATAATTTGGATATTTTGAACTTTGTGTCAAATGAACTTTGAACGATCTTGAACTTTGAAAAATGGTTTGGACAAACTGATTAAAATGACAAACAGAACCCAATCTACTAGTCTTCATTTGTTTATGACTATTACAATGTATATTTATTTAGTAATATTAGTTTCATTGCTTTTGTTATAGCAATTCATTAATCTTTGATAGCAAAAATATTTTGTTCAAAATACTCTTTCTCAGTTCCAAACAGAAATTATTTCTTTGTTCTCAACAATGCATTTACTAGAAGAGAACTGTTTTTCACAACAACATGTTGGTTGGTCTCACATGACTTGAGTAAAAACTAGCTTGCAATGTGTTGTGACAATGTTGCAAGTCAGTTGTTTTATTAACACATACATCTATTTAAAAATGAAGCAGCAAACAACACCATTTTTTATCTTGCTGCTTCTCACCAAACAATCAAAGTGCATGTGCATATTCTGAAACTTAAGCAAGACAGCTTATAGTAAGCGCTAATGGATTCTACTTTATTGCTTGACGCAGTGATAGTACGGTACTATTGCCATAATACCATTACAATCAGAAAACATATAGCCATGAAAGCTGATAGAGATAGCTACAATAAGTGGAATGTACAGCCACAAAACCCAAAATGTACAGCCACAAAAACTCGAAACTAACAGCCACAAAAGCTGAAACGTACAGCCACGAAAGCTGAAAAGTACAGCTACAAAAGCTGAAACGTACAGCCACGAAAGCTGAAAAGTACAGCCACAAAAGCCGAAATTTACAGCCATGAAAGCTGAAAAGTACAGCTACAAAAGCCAAAATAAACAGCCATTAAAGATGAAACATACCTCAGCTGACAAATATGAATTAATGAGACATAAATCATGTGTCTGAGAAAACCAAATAAAGAAGATTATACATGTATCCACAAAACTTACTCTGGTGGGAACTCTACTGGTTGTGTTTTTATCTTCTGATGTAGAGCCAGAATAAAATTATCTGTGAATGGTACCTGTGATAGAATAAGAAAGTGTATTAATAACACATTGCTTGAATGTGTGGGAAAAAATTACATTTAAAACAAAGTATTGAAATCTTAACAACATTATTGTAAGCTTGTTTCAAAATGCTTATATTATATTATATTATATTATATTATATTATATTATATTATATTATATTATATTATATTATATTATATTATATTATATTATATTATATTATATTATATTATATTATATTATATGTATACATGTATGTACATTATGTCCTTTATGAAGTTTAATCCCAATTGTCCAAACAAATGACATTTTAGGTTTCACACCACAATTACAATTCATATCAAAGTGCAGGGTGGCCATGAATGGTACCTCTAGCCTCTATGAACACCTAAATCTTATATTTATTTTGATTTCAAGCGAAAACCAACTTGTTTTGGAAAATAGACACAATACAATTAGAAGGAGCTTTTTAAAAAGATATCGCCAGAAAACTTCAAAATATTGTATCAGTGTAAAATTTTCCAGGGTCATACAAGTGTTGGCGGCTTTCACTAAATTGTTTTGATACAAATGTCATAAAAACATCAAACTGTGCGGTTATATGAAAACCCTAAAATGTGTGACTACATAAAGTTATTTACAACATGATAAACATAAAAAAGAATAGTTCATTTGATTTTATTTGTATGCTAATATTATTATATTTTTTTCTTAAAAAAATAAATCTTTTTATATGGGCTTGTCCTAAAATATAAGATAACAAGCCATGCATGGCATAGTCCCCATTGTATGTATGTATGTAATGTATGTACCAAGTTTGAATGAAATCCATCCATAAATGCCAGAAATGCTTGGTATTTGATAATTTTTTACCACAAAAATAACCACCATTCGGCCATTTTGAATAGGATCGTCAAACCAATATATCTGTCTATCTATGACATAATATATAATGAATATTAAAAATTTGAACATAATCAGTGAAAGCAAGTCACATATGGCACGAGAACCACATTCATTAAAACAAAATGGCCGCCATTTTGAATCTTATCTGAAAAACAAAATTATTTGCATCAAGGTCCAATAATGTCTAATGTATATACCAAGGTTGAACAAAATCCATCTGTGAACAACCGAGAAATGCTTGATTTTTAGGACTTTTTAGCACAAAAATGGCCGCCATTCGGCCATCTTGAATCAGATCGTGAAACAAAATGATGTGCATATGTATAATATCATGTATGATGTATGTGTGAAGTTTGATTGTGATTGGTCCAGGCATTTCTAAGATACAGGTCCAGACAGACGCACACACGGAGGTCAAAACATAAGTCCCCGTTTTCGGACTGCTTCCGAATGGGATGTACGAATGTAGCTGAGATGAGTTCCATGTCTGAATTAGCACTTCTGATATAAATAGAGAATACTCACACGACCATAGATGAAGCAATACAGGGTTACTCCTAGTGACCATATATCTAATGGTTTACCATGGTATTTATTTGAGTGATCCTGTAGGGTTTCAGGAGGCATAAATGCAGGGGTACCGGCCGTATTTGACAACAATGCATCAACGCCATCAAACTCATCACTCACGCCAAAATCTGCAATCTGTAAAAAAATTATCATTTCAAGATTTGTGGAAACTGTTCACTATTATTAAAAGTGTCTCCCCAAC